GCTTACATCACAGGCAAGCAGTCACAATATACAATAAACACGAACTATCATCAAAGCTCATCATACTTATTAAGCTCTTAATCAGGTAAACAACATACTCACATGTTGTAAAACAAGTTAAGAACTAGTTCAAAGGTCGATACGCTACTTACCTGGTTTCGAATCCCTTTCTCTCTTGATTGTACATTTAATAGGGTATTTCAACACAATTTCTTCCAAGTAGACCTATATTTCACCATTTTCAAGGTAAGTATAGGTCAATCTAGGTAGAACAGGTCAAAACAAATCGAACGGGACAAACCGGAAACCGAACTGACGCTTCACGCGCCCTCACGCGCCCTCACGCGCCTCGGTGTGTCTGTCCCACGCGCCAGGAGCACGCCCAGTCGCTCGCCCAGTCGCGGCCCTCACGCGCCTGCGTGTAGTGCACGCGCTTCTTCTTCCTCCTTGCGTTTTTTCTGAAATTTTCCATCTTTTCTGTTAATACCTACTATATCCCGAAGCCATATCCTCCTTCTACGGTTCGAATTTCATCCTGATTCCTTCTACAAATTTATAGATCTCCTTATTACGTTTCTAACAAGCCCTATTTCATAACTTATTATACAATACGAACCAAGATATCGAGATTTAAAGGTTCGGTGAAATAGGTTTTTCATTACCTTCGAATTACCGTTCGATTCAGCTCGTGGCTGTATCCCCTTCCTCAAACGATTCCTCAGCAACAACCCCTCTTCCTTTACCCTCGATTGATGTCCAATTTTAAGCAACCAAAACTCGAATTCTCAGAAAGTTTCCTCCTCTGTTTTCTGGGTTTCTCTCCATCTCCATACTTCGTTTTTCTTCTCTTTTTAAAGCCTAATCAGGCTCTAATACGCTACCACCTCCCCTAATCACCCACTCATCCCTCTCACGCCTCCAGCTACGCGTCCACCGTCCCTCTTCCTCCTTTACAGCAGCTGCTTCGTTTCCGTCGACTTTTCGTTTTTTTTTTTTTTTTCCTTTTTTTTTAATTATTTATTTATTTATTTATTATTATTATTATTATTATTATCATTATTATTAAACACACAACACATACACACAAAATACATTTTATAATTATTTTGGGTTATTACAATTATTTTCCTAGGACACAACCCTAGTTAGTGTTAATGATGAAGAATGTATGAAGACCATTGCATGTATATTACTTATAGTAATATGTGAACAGAACTTTAGGGTTGTGTCACACTGATATTTTAAAGATGAGAAACTATAGGAATTTCATGCATTTTGTGTGTACATGAACATCGACTACTTCCCCTTTTACGTTTTTTTTTTTTCGTCCTAGTTTTTCACATTACCTCATTAATATCCTCAAGGAAACGCAAAATGACCAAAATGCCCTTTAGGCTTTAAGGGTTGCCTTTGATCTTTTTCAAACTATTATCTATATATATATATATATATATATATTTTTTTTCTTGATTTCATGAGCAATTTAAGCATTTTTCTCCTCTATAATGTCTTTAAATTTAATGCGTGAAATTCCTAATAAAATCCACAAATTTGAAAGTAAAAGGACAAGTAGGAATGTTTGTACCTTTTAGGATTGAGGCTTAAAATTTAAGCAAACACGGGTATGGCTTTAGTTTAGTGGTGAGAATTCCACGTTGTGGCCGTGGAGACCTAGTCTTGAATTCTAATGGCCACAATTATTTTTTTCACTCTTAAAACATAAGCATGCACATAATAACGAACCTGAATCAGTTTTTGCAATGTGAATATTCTTATTTTTGTTACTTTTATAGGTAGTAAGAACGTTTTAACTAGAACCTCTGTGATATTGAGCTACTATTGTATGTGGGGATGGATCAAGGCTGACGCTGCGATTCTATTAACGCTGTGATAATTTGAGCTACTATGTAGTTTCATAAGAGTGAGTGTTTCTAATGAGTATAGAAACAGATCAAGGCTAACGCAGTAATTTTGTAAACCGATCCTGGAAGACGGACTTGGTACTACACAGATAATTGTCTTAAAATGAAGTGTTTATATTGTATTAAAAACTGTAACGACCCGAAATTTTCTTCTTAATTTAAGGTCACTACTATATACATACCATAAATATTGAATGCGGAAGACTTCATTTAAATTCCATAAAACATAACATTTATCTTAAAACACAGTCATAGAGTTTGTTTCGAAAACATCTTTAAAACGACACAACAAAAACCTAAATAAAATAAATAAGCGTTTAAGTTAAAAACATCATATTTTAGCCTAAGTCTAACAAAATAAATACCACTATCCTATGCATGTGTCATGGCCTCGAGTTGCAATGTCGTCGTCAGCCGTAGAGGAATGTCTTGTCTTAACTTGAGAAATGTAGTAACACATAGCTTGAGTATTTAAAGAAATACTCAGTAAGTGATTCCACTATTGAGGGTTAAATGCAAGAACAT